TCTCGTTCATTTTTTCAAAAAAGTTCATTCTATTTGTCGGTTCAAAAGTAAAATAATTGTTAAAATCTTATTTTAGCACTCTCTAAAAAAAGAGTGATGTCATAATCCCGTTACATCGGGTATCAAGAGATAAACGTTATGATACCCTACAGAGTAATCACTTCAATAGCCGAAAAATAAATTATATATCCTAAAAGTTGAGCAATTTGAATGGATTTGGTGTATTACCCTAAGCGTACTGACATATCTGACTTCCGTCATACTTACTCTTATGCGCTTTTCTCTCTCTTGCATCAACTTGCTACTGCTCCCTTTTCTCTCTATCCAGGAGCCGCACTCTTACCCGCCTGTTCTTTCTGTTCCCTCACTCTCAGTGCACTCTCCGCTGTTAAGATATATAGATTGTTTTAGGGTAATGATGTCGTTACACTAAATCCACTCAAATTGCTCAACTTTGAGGATATGTAGTTTATGTATGAAGTAATGAAGTCATTACTCTGTAGAGTATTATGACGTTTAGCTCTCAATACCCAATATAATGGTATTATGACATCTATGTAAAAAAAGGCATAATAAGGAACTATTCATGGTTTTAACGAAAATTCTAAACATTTTACGGTTTCGTATATTTGCTAAGAAACCATCGATGGTTCTAGATAATTTAAAGAACCATGCCAGATAAAAAAATAGCTCTAGCTGTTTAGAAGAGTTCTATCTAGCATCATTGTTTTTCATGCTGAACTTCTTTTACAAAGATGGTTTTAGCGCAAGTCGCTTGAACTAAGATAGATTATTTTTTGAACGCGACTTAATTAATGTAAATCTGAAATAGCTTTACTTATATAATAATAAGCAGACGATGGGTATGGCTGTGGGTGTGGATGAAGGGAAGAATTACACTCACACTCACACCCACACCCACCCCACACCCTCGCCACACCCTCGCCACACCCAAAACAAGGGCTCAAAAGATTCATTTTGTAGTAGTTATTGTTTGGATTTACGGTCTATACTCTTTATGCACAGAAGTAAAGGTAAAGTTTAATCAATTAAGCTGAAATTTTTATAGATGACTACTAACATCTAATCGAGCACTTATTGAGAGTTTCACATAAATTTTTCTTTACTTTTAAATCGCGTGCGAATGCACGTAAGACGTTTCCTGCCGTGTGGGTGTGGGTGAAGAGATAACCAACACCTACACCCACAACTATTACTCTTGAACAGAAGCCGATGCAGAATTTCGAAGTCAATATTCGAAAAGGGCGTAAAGTTCCCATTCTAACAGATAGAGGTCGATTCATTAAAAATACTTTCAAACGGGTGAAAAATTCTGACTCGCCCATCCAAGCCCATCAAAAGAGCTTGAATATAATAGAAAAAAACAATAAAATAGAAGTATTTTTCGGCATGTGTTTTCACTGTCTCAGTGATGTTCTATAGACGTAGCAGAATAAACTATTGTAAATTCTGACATCCCCTGATTTCTGCGCTAGAAAAAATGATGTTAACTGAACATAAAAAGATCTGATTTGTTCCTGCTAGAATGACATTTTAGAAAAGAAAAACATTCGATTTATTGGAAAGAATTTTGTGATGTCATCAAATAGTTATTACTATGTCGAAACAAATGCCCATGAAGACAAGTACTCTTGCCCTAGTTTATTCGATATTAATTTACCATGATTGTTTAAATCGAATGTCAGTACTTTTTGTGTGTCTATATTCAAAACAATCATTGTAAAATAATATCCATTGTAGCAATTTCCAGCCGATGGTTCGTAATCGTTGAAATCATCTGATAAGATGTCTGTTGTACCATTGTACGGGTTGAAACGTACCAAGCGACAACCGCGTTTTGTTACAAATTGTTGCATACCATAAAAAGCATCTGTTTTATTATCATGACATAAATAGGACGGTAAAGCAGGATTTGAAATTCGACTTATTATTTTTCGTTTGATTAAATCAATACCAACAAGAATATCTTTGAGACCAGACGCTACTGAAGCAAAACATTGATGATTTGTTGAATTATAAAAGATTGTCATTGGATCAGATGAAATACCATTGACTTTCGTAATATTTACCCACCACGTAGCTATAAAATTAATTGGATCTATTTGAACGATACTGACAGGATTTTCTTCTAAATCTAACAATTGTAATGAATACAATTTCCCTGTACTGCTATCGACACGCAAACCAAATAGTTCAGCATTATCTTCTGTGATAATTTTTTTATATTGTTTTGTGCCATTGAATGGATTAACCAAAATCAATGACATTAATGATTCTCGTCGTACTGCTGCTTCACCAGCAAATATATAGAATATTTTATTGCTAAGATCATATGTAACATCATAAGGTTTGTAACCATTCAAAAGAGTGAATAGTGTAAACTTGCCAGTTAATGGATCAATTTTGTACAATTTATTTGTTGTTGGTCCGATTTCATAGGTTATTCCTAATAAGTAACCTTTTGGAACTGTTGATATTCCTTTGACAGCATTAAAGATGATGTATAGAAATAGCGATAAAAACAGAAAAGTATTACTCATTAATCTAAAAATCAACACAGATGAACATTCTGAATTTTGGAATGTCATATATCTGAATTCATTTATACCAATCAACATTATCATACGCTGATTTCTAAAAAATTCCTTTATTTTTATTAATGTCAGTCCTAGCGAACTTTCATGTTTTCAAGTTCTGTACGTTCTAAAATTTTATATTGAAATCATGGATACTAGGAAGTGATAAACGTGGAGGATCAACATTTTTCGCACCAAAGCTGATGCTAATTTTTTCCGTCGTTTAAAATACGCGATAACTTTGACATTTCCAACGATTTTTGCATAAATTGTTGAGGGGCTGCAGAATTGCTAACAAGCAGAATTCAGAATTTAAAATTCCAATCGGTAAACCATGGATTCCATATGAATACAAACTTTCAATAAGCATACCACGAGTGTATATATCTGCCAGCCATGAAAATCTAGTAAAGAATTCAAAAATGCAAGCAGAATTAAAACAGAATTCTGCTACAACTAACAGAATACAAAGTTTCAATAGACATACGACGAGTGTATATATCCACAAGGAATAAACTTCTAGTGAAGAATATAAAAATACAAGCAGAATTTAGACAGAATTCTAGTACAAGTAACAGAATACAAACTTTCACTAGTCATACGAGGAGTGAACATATTCACGAGGAAATTTAAACAGAATTCTAATACCACTAACAGAATATAAACACTCAAGAAGGCACACTAGAAGGTCTTATATCGACTAATAAGTTCTACTAAACAATTTTAAAATTATCAGTAGAACTCAAAATAGAATTTTGTGACGCCTAACAGAATGCACACTTTGAATAATCGAACTAGAATCGTATACATTCAAGATAAAAGAAATTCTGCTAAAGAATTTAAAAATACCAGCAGAGTTTAAACAGAATTCTGGTATCATAAGCAGAATACAAACTTTCAATAAGCATACCAGAGGCTACACATCGATCAGGAAAAATTTCTAGTAAAGAATTAAAAAAATCCTAACAGAATGTAAAACAGAATTCTAATATCGGTAAAAAATAAATCAATTCACTAAGGTAAATTCCCAGTAGGAAATAAATTACTAGGTACCACACTAGCCTGTCAGGAAGTATTCTACAGAATTTTGACTACAATAGAAATAGACCAGAATGGAATATATAGTGTTTGATAACATAAAAATGCATAAAATTCTGTAGAACTCTCAGCAACATTTAAATGGATCAGAATGGGATATGTTGTCTTCGATGACACAATTCTACAGAATTCTAAGCAGAATACTATTACCAAAAAAGAATATAAACTTTGAATAGCCATACTATATTGTTATATATCCAAGGGAAAAATAAAATTTTGATGAAGATTTTAAAAACATCGGCAGAATTTTAAAACAGAATTCTGTTATCACTAACAGAATATCAATTTTCAATAGCTATACTTGAATTCAATGGCATATCTGCAATAGAAAAAAAATTCCTTCTGAAGAATTTTAAAATATTAGGAAAATTTGAAACAGAATGCTGTTACAACTATCGACATATAAGCTTTCAATAGGTATACTAGAATGGTATATCTCAAGTAGAAGAGAAAAACTCTTATGAAGCATTTAAAAATATCAGAAGAATTTAAAGCAGAGCTGTGGTACCACTCAGATCATATAATCTTTCAATAGACATACAAGAATGGTATAGCTCGTAGAGAGAGAAAAATTCTAATGGAGAATTTAAAAACATAAAGAAAATATAAAACACAATTCTGATACGAGTAACAAAATATAAACTTGCAGTATGAATACTAGAATTCTACATCTCCTAGTGAGGAAACAACATTGTTTTTCATAGCACAGAGTTCTGCAGAATTCTCAGCAGAATTTAAACAGGCTGGAACGAAAGACGTCATCTCTGATAATACAGAATTCTACGAAATTCTAAGCAAAATTCAAACAGACAAGAAATGAATATGCTGTCTTTAGTGACACATAATTCTACAGAATTCTAAGCAGAAATCAAACAAACCAGAAAAGAATATTATAATCAAATCGTTAAAAAAATATATAAGTCCACAAAATTCTGAATTCTGCTTGGTAGGCATTCTGCAATTGCTGAAATTGTTGGGCTTGCAAACAATTTCATTAATTCATAGAACAGTCAAGCTAAATTTTGTGAAGCGAAAACTTTTTCCGATTTATGAAGAAGACTACTTTGTCTTGTAATCTTTTCAAAAAGAAAATGTATTTGCATCTAATTTAGAAAAATTTCTACATACTTTTACCGCTGAAGACGGACACTCTGACGACAGTTGCTCTGAATTATGTTCTCTGAAAAAAAAAGTAACCAAAAAACAAATATCATCGCATCTAATTCATCCATTCTATTGAGCACTTTACCACCGAAGGCAGCTACACTAGTAGCGACTGCTAAACAATCAATCTTTTCCTAAACTAGCAGACAATAAAATATCGATAAGACCAAAACTCAGAGCTTGTCCAGTAGATAACTTTTATTTAGGTCCCAGTTTTTCCTGAATTGAAAATTTGTTGATATGATTTCTCAATTTTTATTTAAAAAGCATCGTTTGCTTTCAGACTTTTGGAACAACTAAACTATCATCGTCAACTACTGCTGGGTGAAAAGGTTCCAATAGTAATTGGATTATTGTGCAGTTAAATCAAAATTTTAATCGATTTAACAGATATAATCAGGAGATTTTGATTCAGTGATATATCGACACAAACATATAATATCCTTTATGCAATTTTTCGCCTGACTTAAAGCATATCGACCACAGAAATATTCTAGTTATTTAGTAGATTTTTCTTTAGTAGACAAATCAAATGAAAATAGAAAATGAGCTTTCAAAGTTGTCTTCAGCTTTCTTCAACAACCAAAATGATCTGTATTCAACACCATTCTAGTCTATCCTCATATTGAAACTCGTACGACATATTTACTCTTTCTTACAGGCTAGATTACAAAAGTCTTCATACCTGAAGTTTTACTTCAACACTTTGTTTTGTTTCTCTTATCTTTCATAGATGCTCTTATCTAACTAAAACAAAAGTGTTCAAACAATACAATAACGGAATAAACTGTAAATATCGATATTTCGATTTATTCCACACAATTCTTACTGTATTAGTGCTTGAGCATTCACTTATTTTATTGTATTTGAATGTAGGATACAATGAAGTAAAGCATACGATAAAGTTATAATTGTCTGGTTAGGCGCTAACGAATATGAAAAATACACCGGATATGGGATGAGGAAAGGGGTCTGAGGTTCGAGTTTACTTCTTCACTTCGCCTATATTCTTTCAGTCAACAAGAGTGCTTTCATTGGTCAAATGACAATAGCAACGTAGATATTCATAACTATCAAAGGATTGCGACCACAAAAGCATGGAAATCTAAACTTTCATAACTTAAGATTCGACTAAGAAATGACTTGTATCATGAATAGAATGATTGGCTCGACAACTTTGACAATGATGGTGACTCTCATTTTTCTGAGACTGCTTATTAGTATCTAAATACCAATTACTCTATTCCTTACTACATGACTATAATGGAATAACAGCAGTCAGTTGTAAAATATAACAAAAAAGTCACGGAATTATCGGTACTAAACATTAACTCATATCATTTCTGAGTATTAAAATCATCAATAGAAAGAAAATATGAATAAGAGATTACGATGCTCAATATGATTTCATTTAAAAACAAAGAATAAAAAAAAAGAAACATACGTCGTTTTTTTAATCTCAGCTATGCGATCTGCCTGTCGCTGATGTTTAACAATTTATGGCGTACGCCACTGAAATTCTCTTTTCTTCCTAATCATTTTGTATAAATTGTTTGGCTTACTTATTTTTCTTAACAAAAGAAGATCATCGTTGGACTCTTCCAGCTTCCAATATGTGACGATAATCGAACTTATTAGGTTGAGCTTCCTACTCCTTGTGCATAATAGACAATAGACTATTATTGCTGAAATCTGATGCACACTATAGTTACCATGCTACCTCTCAATACATCATTACGATAACTGAAAAGCTACGCCTAGAACAGAGAGTATGAGGTAGAAAAAAAAAGATAAAAGTTAACAAGAAAATTATTGACACTCTTTATATTTGTCTATGATATGAAAATGAAACTTTCGTGACCTGCACATGAATTACTTTATTCTCTCCTTTTTCTTTATCTATGAAATGCAGAATAACCTTAATTGGTAGCAAAGTTTATCGTATGTCTTCCATGAAATTCATATGTGATGCACGATACAGACAAGATTGCTCTATATAATGTTCAATGACTTTTAGCATTGTTCATGTATCAGTCGTTGATTTTACTGGAGCATGCAAGAGAAAACCAAAGTCTAATAGTCATTATCGAAAGTAAATACACAACGAGAAAAATAGTAAACATCCATGTACATTTTGATAAGTAATTAGTGGACTATTTATGGGTTAAGATGATCGAAATAATCATCTGCAGTCGAGTTGTCTGCCATATCTTCTGGTGTCGGGTCTTTACTAAGTTCAGGATCGAAGCTCGGCTCGATGATTGCTTCACTCTCTTGATTTGTCTAGTTTTCATCCATTGAAAAGACAAGTCGAAGTTGAGTTTGAGCGAACTTCACACCATAATATCCTGCCCAGCCTTGCCTATCTTTGCCAGAAAAGAAAACAGTTACTGATGCAGGAAAGTGTTCGTATTCTTTGTAACGGTAAGTTAACCTATGCCACTTGCTATTGTTCCATTGTGGAAAAGTTTGTTCACATTGTCAACGGTGTCCATCAGAAAAGATGAGACAGATTCGACATTCTGAAGCACAATCCCATCGTGGAGCTACACATATCGAAAACTCGATTATTGGATGTAGACAAGTAATCTAGAATTACACGATATAGTTCTATTCATGAGTAAGAATATGCTGGCGTCCCTATGAATCTTGTTTTGAGTCTTTTAACCATTGAATACTCTTTTTACGAATCAACTGAAAAA